CATGTTTATTGCCTCAATGAAAGTACTTGAAAATAGTATGAACAATCTGTCTTTCGCTTTGTTGTTTCAATAAAAACTCAACTGATGTTGTCGAAATCCAGGTTAGACAACGGGCCGAGTTGTGGCTTGATATAACCTATATGAAAGTAATTATAAAAGATAGCAGCTGGAGTGAGTCATTCAAAAAAAAAAAAAGCATTTCTTCTTCTTTTGTGGACCGTGTCTATTCAGGACGTGGGCGATCATGACTCCACAAATTCATATCCTCTGCAGCTCTTTGCACTATTTGTCTTTTTCATGTTTCTTCTATTCCCTGTTCTGTCAGCAATTTACACGAGCTTGTTAGGTGGCTTATTCGCTGTTTTCCTCTCCCCCTGTCCCAACGTATGTTAGGAAAATATTCCCTGTACTAATACACCAACCTTACCGCTATCCTCAACTGTTGATAAAAGGCAGTATAGATCCATATTTTCACGTACGTTACGCCAAATTCAGGCCCTATTATTCTAATGCCGCAACAGAAATAGAGTATTATCTGACCAGGCAACGTTTTCAATTATTTTATTGTCCAATATCCGCCATATTTAGTGAATCGTAACCATTTCCTTCTTCTTCTTATGTGACAGTTGTGACGCTCGGCTGTAGTCCAACTGCTTGTGTTGACCCTTCACAAATGCTCTTCTGTATACTTCAGTTGCGAACAGGTTATTTCAGCTACTTTTATATTTCGATCAATTCGATCCCTTGTAGCCATTCTCCCCCGACTTCTCTCGTCAAGAAAGGATTTCAATTCACATAATTACCGCTTACTAGAATCTTTGTTGCTACTATAGTATGGTATCTACCGAGGCATTTGCTACCAACCGTAAATGACGACGCACTCATTATTGCTGGACAATGCTCAAGAAAAATGATGACCTGTTTACTGGGGTTTTTTAAATGACATCAAATCAGTTTACAAATATTAAAATCACTATTTGATGATTTTTTAATTTTTTGTATAAAACATTGTTAATGATTTTTAATAAGTAACCAGATTACTATTCACTGCCTTTAACCCTAAACCTAACCCCAACATATTTCATACTTCCAAAAGTTGGTAAATATAGTAGAAAATGGATGGTAGATATCATACTATAGTAGTACCGAATCTTTTCCTTTTTTGACGATTCTAAAAATCTGTAAAAGCTAGACATGGTTATACGTGAAAATCCTAGTAGGTAAACATTTCTTGAAACATTCAGACCCGCCTGTCTGACACTAACGATCAGTCATTTAAATACGATTCAATTCAGCAGGTTTCTATGACAATGTTTAAATGGATATATACTTTAATTGCTGCCACGTCATTGGCTAATTAGAAGTTTTCATAAAGGAGTATTTGTTCACGTGTACTTAATTAAGTGGCCAGTATATATATATATATATATATATATATATATATATATATATAATATATATATATATATGATGCATGTTTCATTAAGTTGTGTCTATTTATTTTAAGTAAGTCCCTTTTATATTGTCTGATAAGTTTAAAAGCATTATCATTGAAAGACGGAAGGAAATCACCATATTGATACATGTTTAAATCCGATCTAAGCTTTCGGCTTTCATAAGCCATTATCAAAGATGACAATTATATTTCAATATATCAAACAATACACGGACGAAACAATAATGATAGTCTGTTTTTGTTGCATGAAAAATTTCAAAGCAACGCAAACTCGTGTATACGAGACGCGGAAGCGAAAATCGCATCGCAGCTCGTGACGTCATACATGACCACGCGAGTGTGAAAACGAGAAGTATTAAGTATGGGAAGCTGTTCGCATAAACCAATGGCTTCAGTTATCAATTATAGACATTTAAGAATTTTCTTAAAAGTTTATAGCAACCAAGTTTTTAGAAATACTGAATTATAATTGCTAAAAACTACAATTAAAAAATCTTTTAAACACGTAACTATACTCCCAAAATCGCATAGGTTATATATTTAGAATTTTACGGTGTTCATGCACTCATATCCATAGAAATTCAACTCCTGGAGAGAATCTCGGATGAGATTGAAGGTACTTGGGAAAATAACAATTATTTGAAAGAAAATTTTAGAATTTTTTCTACAGCTAGCAAGAAATTAATTCATAGATTTGAAAGGATTAAAATATATATATATATATATATATAGATAGATAGATAGATAGATAGATAGATAGATATTACTTAAACGTTATTTTAGTGGATATTCCTATATGAAAAGACACTCCGTTTATTTATCAAACATGTATTCCTATAGATGGCAGCACTAATACAATCAACTAGAATCCTGGAGACAATCCTTGATTTTTGAAGAGATGTGCTGCAATTTGAATCTTACTGAAAAAACAGTTATTCCTGATGTAAGCAGCCGATCAAATTAATAAATTTAAAAATAGGTTATTTCGTTTTATCGGTAAATTTGCAAAAATTCATATTTACTTTTTTCAAATTAACATGTGTGAGAGAATTCTCGCTACGGAAATACACCTCATTTAAATTATATGATCCTGCAGCAAACAAGGACACCAACACAACAAAGTTTCGTCGTTCTCTCATAGAAAGAAGGATCAGAACATTCAAGAATTAGATCAAATATCCCCAAATGGTTAGTGAGTTCAAAACTGATTACCTCAAACGTTAGAACGCCGGAATTAAAAGCCAGTTACGTAACTACACAAAACAATTCTTGAAAAGAAATAGATTATCATTCGAAAGTACTTGGGAAGAAAAATATATATATATATATATATATATATATATATATATATATATATATATATCTGTGTGTGTGTGTGTGTGTGTGTGTGTGTGTGAAAATATATAGAAAATAGGAAAGAACTCGTTAGGTAAAAAATAATCCAAATTTCTTTAGTATTTTTGTTATTATTTAAAAAAAAACAGTGCTCGATACAAAAGTAGAGGCTAAATATAATTATTTATTTAAAAATATGATTCCATCGCTACCTAAGAGTTCTCATGTTTCAAAACAAGAGCCGAAAACGTCAATCTTTCTTTTTTTTCCTTATCTACCCCTATTTATGCCCTATCGAAACGCTATCACCCACAGGCTGAAAACGGTCTTTTCTTACCGATTATTGGATTATGGCTAACCCCCTTATCTGGATAACAACTGAATTTCAAAATCCCATAGGATTGTATTAGGTTGTTACATAAATTCGTTCGTTTTTTATAATTTGTCTTAATACTTATTATTTATTAATAGCTCTGTTGAATCATTCAACAATATATTTCCTCTTCATTATTTACGACGTCCTGCCAACGATCCAATAACTGTTTAATGCCTCGACAATAGAAATCACTTGGTTTTCACCCGAAAATTTAATCAAGCCATGTTTTAAGCTCCACGTCGTTGTTGAACGAAACATCCCATAAATTGCTAGAAAGTGACTGAAAAAGATGGTAGTCTGAAGTGGCTAAATCAAGAGAATATGGTGAGTCTGGCAGAACTTCACAATCGAACTTTTTAATTACATGTTTCCTCGTATTAGCAACGTGGGAGCGAGCATTGTCACACTGTATCGCCGGTTAGGTCTTTCAAACTAAATAACCTCTTTGAACCTGTTCAATATACAGCTTAGCATTGGCCGTTTGGTTGTTATGGAGATTTTTTGTCGGTAATTAAGCCATTGCCGTGCACAGCACAATGTCTCTATCGGCTTTGGCAGTTTTGACTCTGATTTGTGACATTGGCTGTTCTGTGACTTTAATGTCAAACATGCTCATTCTTGTCTATTTGGTATTCCATCTCAAAAGGGTGTCTAAATCCGAAATAAAATATCAATAACATTAGACAACAGTTTCACAGGATGACCAGAGTTATTAAAAAGCAAAAACTAACACGAAAGATTATTCTTCGTGATCATTCGCAGAACATCTGAAAGAAAGGAACATTCGCAGAACATCTGAAAGAAAGGAACGAATATATGTAACAACCTAATATTTGTTTAATTCCTGAAGCTGCACAAAGATAGTTAGACATAGGGTACAGATAATATATCAATAACTCGGATGCTCCTACTGAAGAACAATTATCTAGAATAATGTTGACACCATTGTTTTGGGTTCAATGAAGAATGGTGCCAGTTTATAAGATAGCGTCTGTGTTGTGCTTATGTAAATATACAACGGGATTCCCTCGTAATCTTTCTAACGACCGGCCAATGATTTCCCCACATTGTGTTCCGTTCTCGTTCATGTCGGTCTTCAGCTTAAGCTTGGACAGGGTCCGCTGCATATTCACAAGATGAAAAAGAAACGTCACGTCGAGAAATAAGAGCGTGAATCCTGTTATTCAGGCTTTCGCCAATTGGGTGGATAGATATGTGACACTTGCGATACCTTCTATGTCGATCTCATAGATCAACTCTTCTCCTTACCAATTCCTCAACATGTGTGGCTGGCAGTACGAACAAGTGGCATCGGAACTACACGACATACAAGTCCGTTTCCCGCCAAAGATGGGTCAGAACTAACTCCCCGATCCCAAGCATGACTGTTAATATAGACCAGCACCCGGAAATAATCAATGTCCGGTTTGTTCTCACTTGACCTCAAAAAACCCTCATTCACTCCTTTACTTCCTTGTTCCCTCTTCGGTCAAAGTGGATGCCGCTTAGAAGACCATGAACCATCTGCTGGTTATAAAACAGAAACACTTCAGATCGAAATAAAATCTCATCTTCATTTAATACGTGGGTATCAATAGTGTCACCTACAATTTGCTTAATTCCAAGCTGTTTGCACAATTCTCAGTAGATCAGCGTTCCTACCAAATCGTGTCCATTTTCATACATCTTCTGGTTATTTAAAGTAGGAAAATATTTTTAGATTATGAGAATCTTTTGGGGATAATAATGGGATTAATGGGATTGGGGATTAACCTATAGCTGAGATGAGAATAGGCGGATTCTCTGAGCCTTATCCAACCTGTACATCCTAACTTACAACACCTGGTATTCCGAAAAAGTCACCCATCTAGGTACTGATTAGGCACGATCTTGTTTAACTTCGGTGATCGTACGAGAACTCGTGTTCCAACGAGATATGGCCGTAAGTTCTTTAGGGACAGATAAAATCATTTACAGACCATATGATTAACATGGTGTCCTAAACAATCGAGTGAGAATCCATTCTGCTACACTCCAACTATTTATTTATTACATAATTAAACCCAAGTCGTTCGAACAATTTCCCGTTTATTTCTGTTGTCTCTCTGCCGCGCCTACTTTTATATTCCTACATTCGCTAAGGATATTCTTTACAATGTCGTCTCTTTCTTCACAAAGACGAAATTAGCTATTTTTCGTTTTGCTAATCTTAGCTCTGAGATAAGTGATTCTGATAAATTTGTTCCGGTTTGCAATGATAATACATGGCGTTTCTTTTTTTTAACTGTTCATTAGTGTATATATATATATATATATATATATATATATATATATAAATGTCGAAAATATCGTTCCCTCTAATGATTATATACGTCACTGTAAATCATGGCGGCAAGAAAAAAATGATGCAATAATCATGGTTTTGTTTTAGCGACAACTATATTTAAACTCGGTATCCATAGACAAAGTTTCAGCGTTATTCTATGTCGTCTACCAATTTTAAAACTACACAAATGATCTCAAATGCCAGACTACTCCATTATCTACATGAATAAAGGAAGCATTTCTAAAATTAGAGGAAACCAGTGATAAAACATTTTTCTTCCAATTTTTGACGCAAGATTTGTTTGGGTGTGTTCGGTGCTCAATATGTTTTACTTTGAAATACAGAAAGCAGGACCGGATTTAAATGAAGAGAGGCCCTAGGCTATTCCACTTGTGAGGCCCTACGCTGTTCCATTTGTGAGCCTCCTCCAAATTCCCCATTCCCACGAATAGTAGAAAATGGAAGACTGTTAAATCAAAGAATTTGAGTAAAACTGAGGATGATGACGGGTGTTTAAAATTACTAAAGGGTTGTTTAGAGTTTAGAATGCGTTATGACAGCGTGTGTAAGAAAAGCCTACAACAGTGTCAAAAATATTATACACTTTGGATGTAGTCTCCCTAGATTTTGAGACCCTGCTAAGTTTATAGGTAAATCCAGAACTGACAGGAAGGGGTTATCAGTTACCAGGAATTAAATCAAAACTACTGACATAAAACAGCTATTATATATATATATATATATATATATATATATATATATATATATATATATATATATATATATATATATAAATGTAAACGCATTGCTAATGATTTACTTGAGAATTCTATGACAATCAAAAATAATGTGATTGTCAGTGGTTAGGAATTAACATATGTATTACTAAGAGAAAACGGCTTTTATATGTATAATGTAAATGCATTGGTCTGAGGGCGATGCCGTCGGGAGTTCTAAATTCTTGCTAGGGCTCCCCTTGGCGGCAAGGTCGACGACGAGGATAACGGTGAAGAGCATAACGGTAAACAAGCGGATGACGTTTACAACAGATCTCAACGTTTGAACCAGTGGATGAAGAGGGCTACGCATAAGGGACATACTACAGAAAGCGCCTCTCGAAGTCCGTTGCAGTTTTATAACTGGAATTTGCATGTCTCGTTTCACATGTGCCGCAGAGAAAGGTCATAAAATCAAGCGTGTGGGTTACTTACTGGCAAGTTGAGGTCTACCTTAAACAAATTCACGCCATCGGCATTTTCTTCTACTCTGATTTTCTTTCACCTCCAACCAATTCTTGCAAAGCCAAACGGCGTTTGGGAATGGATGATGGGAGTAGGTTTTGGTGAAACTGGAAGCTTCTAGTCCTGAACATATACGTTGGCAGTTAATTTAGTCCTCAATGCCATCATCATAAAGGAAGCGACCAGCAAAGAAATTAAATTCTTGGATACGAGATAAAGCCGACGATGACATGAATGTATTGCTAATGATTTACTTCAGAAATTCTATGATAATAATAAAAGAATATGGGTGTCAGTGATTAGGAATTAAACTATGCGTTACTGACAGAAAACGGTTATTATATGTATAATGTAAATGCATTGCCATCGGTGTGGTGTGATGGCAACGGCTCGGAATAAGAAATCGGAGAGTCGAGTTCGAATTCCAGTCAGGTTCGTTACATTCACTTACGCACAAATACCTTTGGGAAAGGTATGAATTCACCCCACCCCAGCCATGGATAGAATGGCAGGACAAACTGGGTTCTCTAGCCTTGGTTGGCAACCAGTCTATCATAGAAAGAAACGGCCGTCTACTGCGAAAATCTTCTGCCTAGTGAATCATGTATCGAAAGAGACATGGTCGCCCAAAACGTGTACCAAGTATGACACTTAATTAACTGACTGAAGTAATTTTTGATGTTTTACCACCCCTTTTTGTTCTTGTTCTGCCAGCAATTCACACAAGCCCGTTACGTTTCTCCCTGTGTGCACGTGCTTGTCTTTTCGTCAAAATGTCCTTTAGGTGTTATATTCTCCAGGTCCTATTTTCTTATTATAATGTCCCAGAAATTTCAGCTCTATTGTAATTTTTTTTTTTTTTTTGCAGTTCCTATTTTCCTTAAAACGTCCTCATTGTTCACATGACTTGTTCCTGATATTCTTAGCATTCATTGGTAGACACACATCTCCGTCGCTTCAAGTCTCTTCTTCATCTGTGAAGAGATCGTCTAGCATCAACTTCCATTCAGGTGATTAAATAACACACAGCGGTTCAGTACTCTTTCTTTATTTGTAACGAATTTTTCATATCTCTTAATAGTCTGTTTAGTTTCTGGAAGCACTCTTTCTCTAATTTCTGCGCCTTCGGATTTCGGTGTCACATCTTCTCTCGTCTATTAATAACATTGCATTTAAGTTATCCATATAATAAACTGACCTAATAGGATTATTGTATGCAAATGTATTGCTAATGACTTTACTCGAGAAAAACACTCAAAATCAGGAAGGAAGAAGTTGACAATGAAAAAATTACTAATAAAACAGATCTCTTACTATTACTTGGGCTATAGTCAAAACCTATCAGATTTCTTTTTAATTATCTCACCGCGGTAGTAAAGCCACTAAGATAATAGGGGTTACTGGGTGTGAAGGAAAAGAGAAAAAAGAGAAAATTTATTAAGAAGCGAGAACAATAGGAGAGTAATCAGGAGGACAATAGATAGCGATTGATATTATATTTAAATTTTTGAAAATCAAAGTTAGTTGGAAAACATGGAGCCAGAAGGGAGTTCCACAAGCGATAAATGCGAGAAAAGAAACTATTATTATAGAAATTACTTTTACATTTAGCCAAAGTAGTTGTGAATTGGTTAGCCTTTGCCGCCGTTCTAGTACTTTACTTAAATTGTAAGCCTAGATATCAGCGAGGAATTCATTCAAACAATTATCATGAAAGTATTTATAGAAAAGGCACAGGGAAGATAAATTACTGTGGTGAGAAAGTGACTGAAGCCGAGATGCCAGGTCAGGACCAATAATATTATTGATTCTTCTTTGGATTTTATCAAGAATCTCTAGATATACAGCAGGATCACAGGACCCTATTCAAGGATTGGATGGATGGAAAACTTATAAATATGTAAGATAGATTCAGGAGAGAAAAAATATCTAGTACGTCTCAGTGAACCAAATTTCTTGGTAGCTGACTGTTCCCCTCGAGATTCTTGACAAAATCAAAAGGGAATGTAATGTTATCGGCCCTGACCTGGCATCTCGACTTCAGTCACTTTCCCACCGGCGTGACGTATCTTCTCTCTGCCTTTTCTGTTAATATTTTCAGGGCAATTCTTCCAGTAAGCTCTCCTCCTTGGTACCTCCAGCGCATGAATTTTAGTGTCGTACTAGATTAGCAACTAAGTGTCATTGTTTTACTGTTGAAATAGCTAGATGTAACCGCAAGTCCTATTCTAATAGTTCCTCGCCCTTCTCGCCTGTGGAACTCTATTCCAGTTTCTTGCTTCCCTTCCACCTACGATCTTCAAATTTAAATCCAACGTCAATAGCCATTTTCTGTCATCCTGAAGTCTGTTCTGCTAATACCCTTTCTCCTCACTGAAGTATTTTCATTCTCTTTCACTCTCTATACAATAAGTACCATAGTGTCTTAGTGGCATTATTGCCTTGTTTGGGGTGAAATGATTAAAAGAATAAAAATAAAAAACGTCGATCTCAAAATGAAAGGGTGGTTCTAGATTACATCAATGTTTATATCAGTCTCTGTGTGTTTATGCGTTATTGCCCCCCCCCGCATAATTAGTTTATCTTCCTATCATGCCATGAAAACTTTTGTGTTAATTCATCTACCGTATATATAATTAGAGACCACGAATATAAAGAGTATAAAAATATATGAGAGAGTCCTGCTCTTCCTCCACCCCAAAAAGAACAAAAAAAATAAATAAATAAACGTGATAGTTGGTTGTATTGGTCAAAAGTGGGTCGAAACGAGACTTAGAAAAACAAACACACAGGCGCCCGTGCACACTCATACTGAATTATGTGACCTCAAATGGGATCAAAACGTTTTCAACAAACAGGATAATAAAACGAAGTGTTACAAAATAAATTTTATTCAAGGTACACGTCGCCGTCGTTGCCGTGAGAGCGGTATGTGGCAGCCATACAAAACAATAAATAATTTATACGATTTACTGAACTGGAATTCATTTAAATTAACAAACAAAACCAATATGGCCTGTTTTGTGGATAAGATAACTGGGTATTTCTTACTAGTGTTGCATACAGATTATATAATATTTATTTTACAATAAAGATAAACAGCTACTTTTTTATCGTGCGATTATTACCAATTGTTCATGAAGTATATTTAATGATAAAATATGTGATAGTGTACTGATATTATTGTGGACGTTTGTGGGTGTTTTCTCCAAAAGTAGATGGTTATTAGGATGATAATATTAGCCGTTTCCGTATAAGGAAACATTCACCATTCATTGACCAAGAAGCAACCAGTGCTATTAGAGTTACGATTTTCTTTACTCCCTGACCATCGGAATGGATCAAAGTGTAGTATGTGTTCTCCTCATCTCTAATTGTA